ATAAATAATACTAATATATATATATATACATATTACTGTATATAAATATACGTGCCACCACATACGCTCAACGATATATTAAAGAATCAGTATTTTCATATGCCAATCTACCCTTATACCACTATATTATATTAATTACACCAATATACTAATATACTAAGAGGCGAAAATATTAAATATCCTACTATGCTAATATACATATATTAATACGAATAAGACTAAAACTAAGATCAGTGCTCATACTGACAGGAATACTAGACAAATATTACTAGTGCTTTATCAATTTATAGTAAGACTATTATTTATACTAATATTATTACTAATACTGAGATTGGTATTTATATTAACACCAACACTAGCATTAAAACTAACAATATCTTCATCTGGACGAATGGCGAGCATAAAGACTAATGAATAGAAGTCTCTAAGAGACCACCCTAGATAGTGAGAGAGAACAGGAGAGTATATAATAGCACGAGAAATAGAATCACGAAATTCTAACAAGTTTTTTGAAATTGTATTACGACTCATATAAGCTTAAGACCATAAGAATCAATAGAGAATTTATCGGTATTTACAAGGATTTCGATATGAGTTCGTAGCAATACAAGTGCAGACAAAGTCCATTTCATGGTGGAGGTTAGTCCAGGGAAGGGGGGGAGTTACCATATATTATTTCTATATAATTTCTTTTCCTATAGTATTATCTAAAAATATTTAATCTCTTTATTTATTTTAGGTCCCTTCTACGACCCACCGTCTCCCACCCCTCCGCGACCCTCCCTACAACTACTTATACCAGATTCTCATTTATCCCCGCTTCGCGAAACTCTCTTCACGCCCATCGACCATTCCACGACACTCCCCACAACATACGCACGCACACAGCTCGCGACACGACCCGCCCTCGCCCGCCACTCCCGACCCACATGCCCTCGCCCGCTTCGCGACACTCCCCCCAATACGCCCTCGCCCCACTCCACGACAAAAGAGCCCTCCGCGACACTCACCACGACTCGTCCTCCCCAGCCACGCCACGACACCCCCCTCAAGCCCTCGCCTCACTCGGCGACACCGACCCACTCTCGAGCGCCTCACCACGCCCACGACGCACACGCCCCCCTCGCCCGCCACTCCGCGACACTCCCCACGACCCACAAGCCTTCGCCCGCCACTCTGCGCACCCTCACCCAGCACTACGCCCTCGCCCATACTCCCATGACACACCTCGACACACCCTCGCCCCAAGCCCTCTGTAGCTACGATGTCTGGTCTGTCCGTGAGACTGTGCGACAGACATGGTAAGTCCTCAAGGTACTTTGCCAGGCTAGAGTACAGTATACACGGATATACACGGCATGCGTGGCATGTACAAAGCGTCCAATTATTCACTTTGGAGTATCAATTAGTACTTGATATCCAATGCTTCGTCGAGCGGCGTAAAGAAGTGAAGGCTAGAATTCAAAAACAAAGTTGACCGCCAATGTCGTAGTACGAAACACTGAATTTCCGCATGAAAGTTAATGTGGTACGAAACCACACTTTTCCCGGGATTTCCGGAGTTTCGTGCAGCACGAGACCCCGAAGTCCCCGATTTTG